CTGCCCGCCCCTCCTGCCGCAGCTCTCCGAGGAGCTCCGACAAGTCCAAGAGCTTCAGCATAGATAGCATCCTGGCGGGACGGCAGGGCCAGAAGCCGGCGGCAGGGGCCGAGCTCCTGGGGGGTGCCAAGCAGGATCCGGGCGGCTGTTTGGGGACCTCGCTGCTGGCCGCCTCCACTAGTCTCTGTCCGCCTTTCAACGCTTCGCTAATGCTGGACCCGCACGTCCAGGGCGGCTTCTACCAGCTCGGGATCCCTTTCCTCTCCTACTTCCCTCTGCAGCTCCCCGACGCCGTGCTTCATTTCCAGTGAGGCGCCCAGCGGAGCCGCTCCTCCCCTGTCTGCCTTGGTCTGGGCTTCTCCCGAGTCACCATGGCTCCTGCTGCTGGGGGAAGGAGTCTTAAAAAACAACAACAACAAACATCTTTTCCTCGCGGCGGTGTGGATCCTGGTGACAGGGGGGGCGCTTCTTGGAGGGGACCTTCCCCGGACCTGGACGCCTTCGGATATTTTAAAAGATCCTGCCCCGCAGGGAGTTTGGGCATCTCAGACCTCCCACCGCGGGAGGAGAATTCCTTGACCTGAGGTCAGTTTAAAGGTGTGATCTTCGGCCACCCACCACAGGTCCTGCGTGTCTGGGGCACACGAAGGCCAGACACCCCGAAGGCAGGACGGCGGAGGAAGAGTGGTGGCTACCCCTTGCCCTTGCCAGCTCCATCGTCGCTGTGACTCGGGCCTGGGCTCCCACAGGTCTGGGAGATGGGTGGGTGCTCACAGCTGGGTTTGTCCCCGAAGTCCAGTTGTGGGGACACCGAAGGTGACCCTGTTTTTCAGGTTCTTTGCCAGATCTAAGCCCTGGTGAGAGGATTCACAACCAATGTCCAGCTGGAAGATGAGGAACCACATTTTTATTTTAAATAGAGAAGTTTTCTTTCTTTTTTTTTTTCTTCTTTCTAGACAGGAAAAGAAACATGTTCTATTCTTTGGCTAAACACTTGACTCTCTTTACTATAACAATTGCCCTGTGAAAACATTTATATTAACAACTGTTAAGGAAGCGCACTCTATATAATTTAGCATTAGTCATTAGTCAACACACATGTTCTCCAACGCACATTACCAACCATAGCAGTAGTCTGATCTCTTTACTTTTGTTTTTAAGGGAGCAAAGATTTCAGGGGGGACCGGAAGTGTGTGAAGAGGAGGGAACACGTCGCAGACAACATAAGATTTCCTATTTTCATGTCTTCTTCACGATCTAGGTTTAACTGCTTTTACATTTCCAGAATTGGGTAGTGAAGGACTACCATCGTCAAAAAAGTTGGGTGAACAAACACATGAAAAGCAGGCAAAGGGAGAGATGGGTTAGGGGCGGGAGGAGTAAGGGAATCTGCTGGTGGCCCCTCTCTGGAACCATAGAACATAAGGCATGCTGGGAGGATTCTTATAGACATTCCCAGCCCACTGCGTCCCAGTCTGCAATGTGACCCTGTTCCTCCCTCCAACCCCTACCAGGCAGACCCAGAGCTGAAGCTAAATAAACCCATCATGGAGGTGACTGGAAGTCTGGTGGGAGGGGTGGGTTGCAAGGCAGGGGTCGGCAGCAAAGATCTAGTTAAGAAAATTGAGATTTTTACAGTCCAGTTTAGCTCAGGACTTTTGGAAAATGGACCTAGCCTCTGTGGTATCTCGCTTTGGGTTATCTTAGGAGTTCTGAAAGCCGATCTCCTGAACCTCCAAGTTACTTTAATTTTATCTGATGTGGGATAGGCACAATATGTCATGTGTTCTGGAGGTGGGCTGCGATAGGTCTTCAAAATGACCTTTAAATAGTTTCTAGGACTTATATAAAAATGAACACGAACTTTACATTAAGAGAGCCTATTGGCTAATATGTTGGAAAGGACATTTAGGAGAAGCCTAATAATTTAATAATTTGTGGGCACAGAGTTGACTGTCTGAGAATTCATCCTTAAAGCTATGTGCTACTGACTCATACATGTTTCCCTGACGGCATTCTACCCAGGCTGGTGGGAACACATTAGTGAGCTGCAGAGCGCCCTTGCCGTTAAGGACGTGGATGAGATTTCATTGCTGAGATCTAGGCTCACTGTGATTGATTTTAAATGTGGCAGAAGGGCTGCCATTGGCTATTTTGTTATCCCAAAGTCTCAGCCTCTGTGAATAAAGTTGTTTTTTTTTATTAACCTCTCAGTGACTGGCTCGGTGGATTACTGGGGGGAATAAACAAACAATGTAATAAGAAAGAGGAGACTGGGATTACATTTGGGAACTCGGTCAGCATCTCAGGGGCCTGAGCAGGAAACCCCAGGGCCAGTGGATACTGCCTGCATGTCAAAAGGTATAGGACATGGCCACTGTATAGGATGTGTTTTATATATTTTCCTTTTTTGTGTTTGACTTTCTATCTTGTGTGTTTTGTTAATGTATGATGGCTGTCTTCCAGAGAAGCCAGCAATCTAATACTGCCATTTAAAAAGGATGGTATTTTAGAGTTACAGTTCTAAAAATATAAACATTTTTATGTCACGGGGAGGAGGGGGAAAGGCAGAAATGTGCATCTGCTTTGTAAGGGGGGTTATGCAAACATAAAGAGACATTCTGTTACCTCATCCCCACATTTGTCTGGCTTAGGGAAGCCAAGAGAAGTGGACAGTGGGGTCATTTTCTGTGGATTCTATACAGCTTTATGTGCTAGTGTATATCTTCCTATTGAAGAGAAAGAGGGCTTTGGGTCTTAGTAATCCAAATAGCTTTTCTAATGTTCCAGATTTAATCATGGGCTTCAAATAATTAAAATATTTAGGGTAAACTGGAAGTAGCTGTCACTCTACTCTTAGGCACTCTGAAGGTATGCCTCTGTGCTCTCATCTAAACAAGGGGTATAGATTCTGTTTTCTGTAAATGACCTTCGGTTCAAGCCCTGATCTCTCTCATACACACACACACACACACACACACACACACACACACACACACGTACACTTGTGATCCTATGGGGGATATGCAGGTATGTGCACAATGATAAATAAATAATGTGTATGTATGTATATATGCACATACAAGTGTGCATGTGTGTATATGTATGTTTATGTTTGGTGTATACAGATGCTCAGAAATTCATCTTTTTTGCATATAGGCGGGACAGATAGTCTGAAATCTAGTGCTGAATCCTTTAAAAGTAGTCCAAATATTGATACTTTTGGAAAGATTTTGTTTTTCTACATAGTTCAAGCCAGGAACGATTTAGTTTTTGCACTATTGTAGTGAAACTAAAAAAGACTTTATGAAAGAATCTTGGAAGATGTACCAACGTAAGACCTTCACTCCCACGACTTTGAGAAGGATAAGAGGACTTTGCACAGGCCTTTGCTTGGTCTGGCGTTGGATATGTGCTGGCTCTTGTAGAGGCTAATGGCCTCCTGGGTCTCAAATGCCCCATAAGGTTTTCTAGAACCTGAAGGGGAAGTGTTTAGTCATGTTTGCATGCAACTGTGTCTCTCTGAAAAGGAGGCCACATGTGTCTCCACCATTTCATGCAGAATGGTCGGTGTGGGTTAAAGAACTAGCCACACGTGATGATATTGTTACAGCTGGAGGCCAGGGCCTATCTGCCAGACACTGGCCGGCTAATGTTACCACCACAAGAGTGGGTGACATTTCCAGGAACAAGTGGGCGTGAAAGCCAGGACTGGGTGGACTTCCCATGTCCATGGTGGCTGGAGTCTTGCTTCCATGAAATAGGAGTTGTTTTATAGAGTCAAAAATACACAATATCAAGCAAAGTTTGTTATTAAAATTAGAGAGCATCAGTTTTTTTTTTTTTGAAAAGTAAGTATTTTCATCCACATGTCAAGCCGTTTTTACAAAATGCCTGAATGGCCAAATGGCAAGCTCTCTACCACACTTGCCCGCATTCAGGGCCCTCGGGGTTAGGCAGGTACCCTACATGTGTACAGGAGCCTGCGGTGGGCAACGGGGGGGCGGGGGGGTGGAGCCTGGCTGAACTGGGGGGTTTATCTCTTCCAGTGGCATCCGAATACCAATGGCACTGGGCTCACTGGCCAGATGTGGATTCAAGCCCAGGGTCTACACCGTGGTGGGCAGATGAGATGGAGCACAAAATTTAGTTCTCCCCCTGGGAGGTGGCTGGAGGAAGGGAGCAGATGGACCTGCCATAAGTCTTGGAGGGACATAGCCAAGTCAGGTATCTTTAATGACCTTGGCAGTGAGGAGGGAGAGTAAAGGGAGGTGGTGGGGCTGAGATTCGGTCCCACAGTCCTTCGTCCATCAGGCACAAGAATCAGGATTCCAGTAGGAAACAGAAACCCACTTAGATGGACCACTGGGAAAGACGAGGGTGAAGAGGCTAGTTTTAAAGGCAAGGGAGCAGGGAAAATGCCCGGCCCCGGGTGGGCACAGGGGAGTGGGGAGGCAGCCAGTGCTGGCCCAGGCAAGAGCCAGAAGAAACACCCACCCTCCTCATGTTCATACCTCTGATTGGCTGGGTTCCTCTAGTAGTCCAGCCTACCGGGAACCCAGATGATGCAGTGCATAGGGGTCAGCCTGCGGGGCCATAGGGGTCAGCCTGCGGGGCCAGATGCACCCAGCCGGGGTGGGGCAGACAGAGATGCCAGCACAGCAGAGGACTTTCCCTTGGGGCCAGTTGGTGGCAGCTTCCCTGACCACACCTTTGATAGCCAAGAGCCAAGACTAGAACCTCCCCGGTAATACTGGGGGCTGTATCTGGCCTTCTAGGTGATTGAATTCTCTCATCTGGCAACTTTCCAAGAGAAGGTGGCTCTAGAGCCTAATCTGTGACCCTCTTAAGGGACCAGGGTTTGGGCCTGGACTTAGCTCCCCAGGGTCTGTCCCCTGGCCGTAGAGACCCTGCCTTCACAGCTTTGTGCCTGGAAAAGTTGCTAAGAGCTGTGAATGACTGTACATGGACTTGTCATCAGTTCATTGTGCACCTAAAACAAAGTTATCCCTTACCGGTGGTGTCCTGAACATGGCTGATGCTGTCGCCCCCTTCCCACATGTGAACCACACACTGGTGAGGGTGTCCCCCTGCCCAGGTCCACAGGAAGTAGGACTCGAATGAAGTGTCTCAGCCCTGGACAGTGTCTAGGTCAGGCCTCTTCGACAGCACCTGGTGTTCACAAGATTATGTCAGCAGGAACTTTAAAGCGTGACTCAGCTCCTCATAATGGGCAATTCGAAATGTACATATCGGGGCGTCTTCAGCGTCTGGGCATCACCATCTCCCCCAGGTAGCTGCTCACCACCGTCCGCTCTACACTTCTCTAGGTCTCTGTAGACACACCCCTGTCGTTAACGTCGTATTGATTTGTTACTATGCAGCAATGTGATACTCAGCTGGGACGGGAGGGCTACATTGACCTCTTCATATGTGTGGCCTTGG